AGCACAGCTTCCTTGCAGCTGAGGGTGCACTGTAGTGCCCTCCAGCTTCTGGCCTGAGCCACTGCAGGCATGTGCCTGCATTTCCAGAGTTAACAGTGAATACTTATTCACTTGCAAATTGGTTCTATCCAGGCAGGTTAGATTAACCTGCAAAGATTGAATCAATTTAGGCTTCAGCTTTTTGAATGTCTGTCCCTATCTCTTCTGCCTAGCTCCTTTGGTTGCACATAAGAGATGTGGTTGGACTATGCAAGGGGTTTACCTGACACTTTGCAAGCCCTGTGAAAGGACCAGTCAAAAATTGCCCTCCAAAATGGGCAGAGAACTCCAAGCTGTGCCATACAATCTAGTATTCCATTCTTATTTAGCTCTCGCTCATCTCTCACTGTTGACTTCAGTTTTGTGGTAGAAAAACTGAATTAAGATCTTGTAATTTAACCCAGAGAAATCCAATCCTAAGAGTTAAAATACAAAGTAATTCACAAGCATTACAATATTTCAAACAGAAAGGCCAAAATGGCATTTAGGCTTTCTGTGTAATACATAACTGCCTGCTTTTAGGTTTGTATTCTGTAAGGAATTACTACACTTGATAAAATAATATACAGCAGTAAAATGTTCAGGCACATGGAAGGCATTGGGACTGCAAAATTATCAGTTGATTATTTTAGCTGTTTCATTTTCTAATGGTTAGGCATTAGGAAAATTATAGCTACCTTAATCATTTTGGTGGTAAAAAAAATCTTAACAAAATGTCAAAAGAGTTATATATCTCATAATGTATGTCCAGCTGATGATTAATGATTTACTGAAGCAGTACAATATTACCTAGTTTGCTTTCTTTCCCCCCTACAGATTGTGAGTGTTGGAAAGCATGTTAAAGGCTACCATTACATCATTGCAAACCTGGTAAGATCCTTTTGTGCAATTATGTTAATGCTTGACAAGGAAAATACTCAACTGTGCTCTGGAATTATGACTCTACACATGAAGTTTGCTATTTGTAATTAATATACAATTTATTGTAATAAGTTCTGAACAATGTACAGAAAAATGTGTTTCTTTTTTCTATTCTGATGCTATTTCAATAACAAGAAGCTAAATTTTATCCTTAGTTATTTTCCATTAAATTCAATACAGGGGCAGGGTGGGTGTAAGTGGGGATTGAGTTTGAGCTGTAGATAGTATTACTCGATCATATTTTTATTACTCTACTGTTATTATTATTATTACTACTCTATCATTACTTGAATACCAGGGTTCAAAGTAACTTCTCCACATTTTCCAGGGTACATGCATTTTCCTGTAAGCTACTTCCAGTAAGATTCTTAGATCAGTGTTTTCCTTTTAGAATTATATAATGCATTAGTGCACCAAATGCTCAAAGCGGGAAAAAATAATAAATAAAATCATGTTTTATTACTAAAATAGTTTCTTTTCTAAAGAAACATTCTAGTGCACACAATAGATCAGATTACAAAATATATTTGTAACTTCTGGTTTTCATACCTTCCATTCCTCCTACTTTATCAGGTGCCATAAGGGAGTAGGCTATGCTATACAAAAATGCATCCCTCTTTAAATGAGTTAGTCTAAAAGGGCATCTTTACACACACTCTGGGGGTCAGGTGAGGGGGAGCACTTTACTTACAGTGGCTCTTATATTCAGCATCCAGTGCTTCAAAATGGTGGTGGTGGCACTTTAACTAAAGCTTGTTTTATGAGCTTTAGTTAAAGTACCCCCACCACCATTTTGAAGCATGGGGATATTGAATACACAAATGCCAAGGCTGAAGGAGCACACTCAATTAATTGAGTCTGCTTTGACGCGTTGTAATGCAGGTGTCCCACACGTCTACAAGAACCCTAAGGTACTATCCTGAACTGCTATCTGGGTTAAATAAGTTAGTGACCTACTGCCTTTCACATGCACTAAAATTCTCTTTTCTAGCTCAGTCTAATGTACTTAAAGCAGATCTTTCTTTTAACAAAGGAACAGACCCTTGAAAAACATTTTCAGAATCTTACTTTTCAAGTGCAATGTGGTAAAACCAGTCAGGATGGGAAATTAATGGGGAAAGTTTTTTTTTCTTATGAATGCCTAACTCCTAAATATATAAGGTCAATTTAGCCACTTTTGCACTCAAGAACAAACCAATCTTGTTATTCAACAGCAAAGGTGTCAACATCATTTAATTGCTTTGTCCATGATGATGTTCATTCTAAACTTCAAATCAATAAGAAAAATAATTTCCTAACACCAGTAAACTTCACGTAAGTTTTCTTTCTCATGTTGCGTATGTTCCATTTGAAGAGTATCCAATGACAAACTGTACCTAAAATTCTGATCTCCGTTGCACCATTTTAAAACTTATCTGTCTTCATCTTGCATATTGTGTACCAGCAGTAGTTTATTTACAGCTGTCACCAAAACAATACAATAAAATGAGAGATTAACATTATATAGAATTAGATAATATTTTTATAAATGTATGGTTTTTGCTAATAAAATGCCCTAAGATTTTCTATTCTACATGTTTATAGAAAATGAAAACAGAATATAGTGTATGATGATATTAAAGATAAAATGACATAGTGAACATTAAAACAAAATGTGTTTCTACTTCTACTTCATTTTAGCCATAATTTTTTTGTGCAAGTAAGGGCCTTATTAGGGCCTTGATACATGGTAATTTTGGATAGCTCCTGGAACTCTTACTCCCTGGATTGTCCACACATTAACACCTGAAATTAGTTTTAAGCATACTTTAGGTGACTTAAAGTTACACCCCGCTAGGGCAAGTTTATCTCTGATCTATGTGACCTTCCTACCCCCAGGAATGCAACCCCATCCAAATGTCCTGCAGAGCCCATGCCAGCTATCTAGGCTGTAGGGCATGAATGGGTCTGGGAGTGGAGTCCAGGGGGGTGGGGGAGATGACAAGATAGTGGGGCAGATCAGGTCCCCATGAGCTGGAGGTTTGTTCCTGGGGCAGAGGCAGTAGCTCCCCCATAAGTGCCTTCCCTCACTGATCCTACCTCCCAGACATCCCAGGAAGCACAACCAGCACCTCCCACACCCTAATCTCACACCCTAATCTCAAATCCCAGTTCCTTCAGTGTCTGACTTCTTTCATTTAACCACCCTTTCCCCATCCACACTTCATTTCCACCTCCCATTTCATTACCCATCAACATCCCATTAACTCTCCACCTATAATGTGCCCCCTCCCCACAACCATCTCTCACACAGCCCCACCTAGAGCAGGGATAGAAGCCTGTCCTGGCTCACCAGCCCTGTAGGGGCAACTCACAGCCATAGCTCCGAGTCTGGCCCCTGCTCACCAGCCCGCTAGTGGCACGTTACAGTGGTTCAGGTAGGGACTGTCAGAAAACGTTTTTAGCTTTAAGGTGTAACTGTTGCAAACTTGAGCTAGCACCTATACTATTCAACGTCTGAGCAGCTCAAAGTGTAACATGTATTAAGGCCCTACGGCCCAAACACAAATAAGCCTAAGGTGTATAGGAAAGTCTCTGAAGTATTAGAAAGAAGACAGATTGCTTTTCCTTCATTAACCCAGCGTTTAAAATTTCCCACTAATAGAGAGATCCATTTTCCTCTAAGTTCTTCAAAAAACAAACAAGACCACAAATAGTGATTTAAATAATCTATCTCATTCCTCCCACAAGAGCATATTTTGTCCCAATACGATCCAACACCTAATGCCCATGACAACTGAAAATCTCATTAGAGTGAATTTCAGTGTAGCAATGGCTTCTCATTGTTTGTAGTTTTACAGCATGGACAGGTAGGTTTCAAGGCCAAAAAAGTATATTTTTTAACCTTTTAGAAGTGGAAGTTTGAGACAGTCTTACTACTGGCATGCATGCTGGCACTTTTAATTCTTAAAATGATGTCTTGTTTTAAGTATAGAGGAAATATTGACTCAGTGAATCTCAGTACATTTCCCAGTCCATTCATCTGGAGGAGAATGTAGATGTTATTTAACTACCCAAATCAGGGTTTATTTGGCAAAGGAGAGGCTTGTAGCTTGCATTTCCTTGGGTATCTATTGGTGTAAAAGATCTAATTTTTAATCCAGTAGTTTAGGGTTTTTAATTGAGCTAAAGTGCTCACATTTATCAGTCCCATTTTAGAGTGCATTCCTCCTCTCCACACACAACCCAATATTGATTTAGAGATAAATTTGCCTTAAAAAGTAATTAGAAATCTTTTCAGGTTTTGCATGGTCCATAGGGTCAGTAACCCAAAATTCTGCTCCATACAATAAAATGAACTCTACCTGGCATCTATAGACCTTTAGCACTTAAAGAACCTTTGCCCTTCTCATTGTAAAACAGTAAAACTCTGCCGAATGCATGTTTTGTTCTCGTATTTACATTTTCAATGTGCTTATTCCAGCTCAGATTGTTGCCAAAGTAGATTCCAAGGTATTTAAAGGAAGACATCTACTCTAAAACTCAAAAACCATTCAGACATCTACTCAAAAACCAAACCATTCATTCCCTAAAACCAATTACTTGATTTTAGCAGTGTTGATTTCAAAACCATTTGAGGTACATTACTGCTGAAAAGCTTCTATAAATCTTGGGAGGACTATTTGGGATTGTGCCATTATTAATGCTTCATTTGCATAAAGCAGAAAGGGGATAGGGTCAGAGTGCATGGAACTGATTCACTGTTAGTATCTATTTTAGATTGTTCAAAAATAAATAAAGTAGTGGAACAAGCAGATATCCTTGCCATACCCCTGTCTTAGTTGGGAAACTATTGGACAGGGCACTGCCAATTATGTAACACACTTTATATGCTGTGTTTGAATAGTCAGACCCCATCTATGCATTACAATTAAGGCATAATTAACCAGTTAATCACACTTTAAATAATCATCCTGCCACACATTCAGCCAATTAATGGCATAATAAAAAGAGGAATAAGCTACAAAGTTATTCCACAAAATATGTGAAATAACTGTAGCTGCTTCTTATCACATCATTAATGGAATGTGTGGCCAGGGGCCCCTGTGGCTGGGAGCCCCATTAGCTGATCAGAGCTCTCAGCTGGAGGGGCCTATGTGCACCCCCAAGCCTGGGAGTTCCCAGCTCATAGATTCAGAGATTGTTAGGGGCTGGAAGAGACTTTGTAGATCATTGGGTCCAGTTTCCCTGCACTGGGCAGGAAAAGACAACTGGGTTCAAGTGGCACCAGCGAGGTGACTGTCCAGTCTCCTTTTCAAGATTTCCAGGGTAGGTGACTGCACCACCACTTGAGGGAGTTTATTCCACAATCTGGACACCCTGACTGCGAAAGAATTTTTCCTGGAATTGAGCCTTTCATGGCCTTCCAGGAGTTTGTACCTATTCCTCCTGTTCGTCCCTAGGGGAGCCCTGATGAACAGCTGTTCACTGAGTTCTTGATGTACTGCCCTGATGTAACGGTAAGCTGCTACCAAGTCCCCTCTCAGTCTGCTCTTCTGTAGGCTCAAGACGCCCAAGTCCCTCAGCCTGTCCTCGTATGGCTTGTCTTACAAGTCCCTGATCATACAGGTGGCTTTTCTCACTAGTGCGGAATACAGTGGGAGTATCAATTCCTTAATTTTACAGGAGATGCAACGGTTAATGCAAGCCAGCATGTTGTTTGCCCTGCTGGCCACAGCATCGCACTGCCGGCTCGTGTTCATGCGATGGTCGATCACTACCTCTAGTCCCTTTCTGCCGTGCAAGTCAAATTGTCGCCACCAAGCCTGTAGGTATGTTGGGGATTGTTTGCCCCCAGATGGAGCACCTTACGCTTCTGAGTGTTGAACTTCAGCTGGTTCCAGTCTGTCCAGCTCTCTAGCCTGTCCAGGTCTACCTGTATCTGCAGCCTATCTTCTGGCATGACCACG